GATTTCCCAATCCCAAAGGATTTAAAACTCGGCACAGGCTACGGTACTATGATGTCTAAATTTAACCTTCCTTGGATAGTCAAGGTAAAGTAAATTTACGGAACCTTCTGCAGTGAGCCCTCATACCAAGTTATAATAGTATTTTAAATGACTACTGCTCTAAAACATTATATACATTCTAAATGTATATAATGTGGAATGAAGTACATTTACTCAAGTACTGTACCTAAGTACAAATGTGAGGTACTTGTACTATACTTGAGTATTCCCATCATATGCCACTACTCCACTACAATTCAGAGAGGAATATTTTACTTTTTACTTCACTCCATTTATTTGACAGTGATAGTTATTTTACAGATTTATAATACTCACAGGTAACATTTTTCTGTATTATAAGTACTATATTTTGCTAATACTACTTTTAATTAAGTGTGCAACGCAGGACTTTTGCTCATCATGGCAGCACATGGTTGATTCACTTCAACACACACTTGAAGTAAGTGATCATTTCACCCCATCCAATCAATACTTCACTATAGCGCTGCTACTGTGCAATTACGCAGTGATTTAAACCCAGCAGAGCATGCAGGGATTTCATAAGTATACACCAGTATAAAATAATTCTTCAAGCTGAGCCAAATGATTTCAGCACACACACTGGCAACAGAGAGGCGACCTCATGCTGGAAAACTTCGGTGGGTTTTTCTATTGAAGGGTATAAACTTTCCTGCAGAAGGTAAAACAAAGTGTGCCCCAGCCCCTGTAATTTTCTCTCATCTCTCCTCCAGACACACACACACACACACACACACACACACACACACACACACACACACACACACACACACACACACACACACACAGGCTAATGACTCACAAGGCTGGTTTAACACTAAAGACTTAACAATGTGCTATTGAGTCCCCAACCGTAATAACAGGTATTTACCAAATGAGCTGCAAAATCACTATTGTCATTTGTAACCCCAGGAATCAAATGGAGAATCACTTAACACAGTGTCGTCCCTAAGGTAAAACAAAAAAGGTTTTATATGTTGAATATTATGAACTCAAACACAAAGCATGTGTTCAGTCAGCATAATTTCTGTGATTCATGGATGTTGTGGTTGTGTGAAGTTTACTCACAGCCCTGTCATAGGTTGAGAACAAATCAAACACATCTGTCCAGCTGCAGACTCAGAGAAACATACAAAGATACCTTCAGGTGCCTGGACTGACTCTGCTGTGGATGCACTCAGGTTTACATGAAGAGATTTTATAGTATAATTAGTCATGTTCAATTGCATACATTATATGCAAATTTGTGCAATTACAAGTACTTTCCATTGTGTTGGCCATCTTAATTATAAACTACACCATTTCCTTGTGAGTACTGTTTTCATGTGTATTGCTTTGTATTTGATGTTTATGGTGGAGCTTAATTGGGATCACACTTATGCAGAATCAGGTGATGGCCAGTGGATCTAATGTAATTAATGACATTGACTCAAGTGCTGTTTATTATCCAATTTTGAGGTACTTTACCTGAGTATTTGTGCTCATTTCAACCTCTAATCCACTACATTTTGGAGGCAAATGCTTTTTTGTAGTGAGTTTTTAATTCACTACATTTATTTAATGATTTTAGTTACTTCGCAGATTTAAATTATTAATACAAAATATAAATCTACTGATAATGTATAATGTATAATTATAGGTTAGGTTACTCTTCAGTATGGAAAGTAATTTAAAATTTGTTCCACCTTTACCAGCTCACATTAAAATCTTGAAAGAATGAATGCATCACAAATTATAATCAAATAATATAATGTAAATGAATCTGAGATGGCCATTCTGCATAATGAGTACTTTTACTTTTGGTGCTTACTCGTTATATTTTGGCGCTAATACTTTTTTACTTCTATTTAAGTAAGTAGAGTATTTCTACACTGTAGAACTGCTACTTTTATTTAAGTAAATGATTATAGTACTACATCCACCCTCGGTAATCTATATAATTCATATTTTATCTGATTATGCTAAAATATCATAGCTGTAAAAGGCAACTTAGTAATAATATATTGAGAGCAGCATCTCAGTATATGGGCATCTTTTTCTATAAAAACACAGTAGATTGTCTACTGGGGCTGCACAGAACACAAACATATGGACTTATTGTGACCTTGTTTTTGCCTTGAATGAGTAGCTACATGTTTATAAGCTTATTTTCAAACCAGCAATTCTTTCCATGCCCTGTTGTTTGTGGCTGTTAATTAATATAGAAGGCATCACAGGGATGGTTGGACTGGTAATCCCCCTCCTCTATGACTCAAAAGCAGCCCACTCATGGTGAAACACTCGTTACTGATACATATAATGACTGGCTTCTGGATTGTGCTGACTCCTCTACTCAGACCGCAGTTAACCAGAAACACATTGGGCTGAAGCCATAAAAAAAATCCCACACTGTATCAACAGGCCGAGGCTGGTCTGCGTTACTGTATATGCAATGCTCTATTTCACTTTCATGCCCATGATGCTCCATGCTCGTTCCATTTTATTTTCAAAACTGAGATTATTTCAAAATAAAGTCGGTGTTTTGCCTAGTTGAGAGAAACAAAAACAGCTCTGTGATTTTGAATAACATTATTTACACAAGAAATTTAGTTTAAAATGACATTACAGATAGATAGATAGATAGATAGATATAAAAATAAAATATATGGGACAATAAAAAAAATACATTATGCGGATTGTTAGGTGAACAATGAATAAATAAATAAGGCCTACATAAATAATAATCTATACAAACTGATAATTTTAAAAATTACAACGCAGCTACCACGACTTACAAAATATGAATTAATTATGCAGGCTATTGTTGCGTCAATATGACAGCTTACATTGCAAAGACATTGTGAAAACATCCTTTTGAAAGGAGATATTTAAAGTGCAGCAGAGCAGACCTGAGTAGCTTTCAGCTTTTGTTCCAGACGGGTAATTCTAACCTGGATCCAATTATGGCACAAAGAAAGTTTTCCTCACGTTATTTTTCTCTTTTTAAAGCAAGACAACTGCATAACTTACTCTGAAGGAGAGTCATATCGAGGTGCATCTGTTCGCAGTGCTGGCAGCGGAGGGGAAAGTCTGACAGATGTGGAGTGCGCATCAACTGATAAAACAAAAGGAGGCTTCAAGTTCACCGAGCAGCAGCTCAGCTGTATTCTGTTGTATTCCTGCAGGCTGGAGCCTACACACGCTCCGCCTCTGCCAGCCGATGAAATCCAACACTGCTGCAGTCTTCACGAAAACATGTGTAGTATAATACAAGTTAAAAGGTTCTGCTGAAAACTACAACATACTAGACAAATATGAAAATACACTAAAGGCACACTCCTCCAAATATTAACAGCAGCACAGCCATGGCCACCGGCAACACACAAAACACAAGATTGTAACTTTCTATCCATACGAAATTGACAGCTTACAATACACAAATAAACACCTACTAAACAAAAGACAGTTTGCGATTATGGTATAGGCCTACATATGTTTACATTTGCTACGCTCATAAATACAGAAGGTTAAATACGTTCATGTTTTCAGTCCCTCAACCCGAGAAGCAAATACTTTATATACATCAAACTCTTCAACATGTGAAGATGTCAGTCATTTAGATAGTTGAAAAAACTGTAACCCAAGTCCTTCCTCATTTCCCCCTTTTTGATCTTATAAAGTCATTTGTTGTACAAGCTAATTTTAGTTTAAAATAGTCACAAAGTCGACTCAGATTTCTGTGCTCTTTATTTCTGTTTAAGTTGTGCTATAAACACTACTAGATAACATAAACTCACACTGGTAATTTAAGGTTGAACACATCTTTTGTCGGACTTTGCACAATTCTGCCATCTACAGTAAGAACAGGAAAAATGTAAGCTTTCCTGTCACAGCAAGAAACATTTTTTTACTGTTCCAGGGTAGTAAGTGTAATTTCCTAATTACTTATGCCTCAAAAGTATAGAAAACGGCTATTATTCCCCACTGCTTTTGTGACCAGCACATTGATATTTAGAAATGTACCTATTTCCAATGAGAAAACAGGCGTATTTGTCTCTTTTCGTTCACATTAAGTCAGAAGTAAACAACATATGAATCCAAATTAACATATATTTATACACTGGCTTTGATCTTTGCTTCAGACTGATTAGGGAAAAAGTCTTGAAGGTACATGAAGACTCCTTAGCTACAGCTCTTAGAAATTGTTTCATAAGGCCCAATTTGATGTGCAGCAGCGGCATCAGCACCTTCCGAGGGCCCACCAGCCAGTGGCTCCCATTTGACGTTCCTCACCAAAGAACTTGGCCCACTGTGGCCAGTCCCGCCTGTGGTAGTGCGCCTTGGTGACCCTCCAGTCCCACAAGCAAAGATAGCAGGGACACTTACACTGCTTAGGAGAACCATCAGGTATGCCACCTTTATGAAGTTTCCTGACCTCTCAGCTGTACTCATCAGTCTTCAAGGCATCCAGCAAGGTCTTGATGCTTTTGAAATCCTCTTCGAGGAGCACTGAGTGAACCAGGGGAAGAGACGGATACTTGTTTGTTACCATTATGGAGCAGCACAGCTTTAAGGCTGGTGGACCCTCAGAAGGTGCTGATGCCACCGCTGCTTATCAAATTGGGCCTTATAAGATACTTTGTCAGAACTCTGGATAAGGAGTCGGCAGCCTTCATGTACCTTCAAGACTTCTTCCCTAAGGTGTCATTTATACACTGGCTTTACAGTGTATAAATGATGTTAATTTGGATTCATATGTGATTTTCTTCTGATTTGTGTGAACAAAAAGACACACATTTCTAAATATCACTGAGTGAAGTTTGTGGGGAATAATAGCCATTTTCTATACTTTTGAGACATAAGCAACAACATGTACTACCCAGGAACAAAAATTTGTGTTACACAGTGTAATTCTCCTACAGAAAATAACAGCACAACATGCCTTGGGCTTGACAGAGAAATATCTTTATTAGATTATGTACACTTTGTTAAAAATAACCGTATACATGTCCTTACCACCGAAACATTCTTCAATAACGCTGCAAAGCACAGAAAGTAGGCTGACTGCAGTGTGTGAAGTGTGGTGTGCAGAGTCGTCCGGTGTAAGGGATGAGTTTGACGCAAACTCAAATAACTGTCAGTGTCTCTCAGTCCCTTTTGTTTCCATGCTGTTTAATGAAAATCTTAGGTGCATTCCATCCCTCTGGAGCCTTCTTCAGTCCAGCTCGTGTCCAAATCCTCTTCAGATCCTCCTCAAATCGTTTCTGCACAGGACAAAGATACACAGTCGATGTGTAAAGTAAATTCCCATTCGGCTAGTTTTGGAACAGGCACACAAGACTTGACATCTTTTTTTCCAAGTTTAGTCAAGACTTTGCTGCCGGTAAAATATATATATATCATGGTAAACTATGTTGACTAACAAAGTTAAATGCCACCATTAGTTTTCATTTCCTAATCAAATTATCTCAAATCATACTTATACTAAATTGGCTAAAAACAAATCATCAGTATGACAGGATTGTTCCTTTTTTTATCTCCAAAGAGAGGAAGCTCTCACCTGCTTCTTTTTCCCCCTGCCCTCCAGCACCCTCCTCCTCAAAAATTTTGTCCGTTTCTGCAGCTTCTTGTATTTATGCCTGTTCATCTTCCGCCGTCGGATCTCCAGAACATTCTTACAATTAAGGGGTGCTGCTGAACCCTCTCCATCCTCCAAAACAGGGACAGAGATGGGTGGCAGCACCTTCTCTTCCAGCAGCCCTGCGTCCTCATGCGGCTGAGCGGACTCCAGCAGGGGAGGAAGGGAGTAGCGCAGAGAGAGCCAGCTCTCCAGAGGACTTACTGACAGTTTACGCGGCACGAGAGCCTCGTCCAGCTCTGGCTCAAGTTGGACCCATCGAGGAGGAGAAGTGTTGTCTGCCGCTGTTGAATAGTTTCTCAGTTTCTGTTTTAGTAAAGAGCAGTATGCAGGAAGAACTGGATGTACACGTCCATTAAAAATTTCTCCATGGGCTTGAAGTGCACCTAGCCATTAAGGAAAACGAAATTATATCACCTTGAGTAACATTACTTACACAGACATAATAACTTAAGATGAGATTACATACATAGATATTTGTTCATACTTACAAGATGCTCTACGTAATACACTGAGACGAGGGATGACCTTTGAAGTAAGCATTGTTAAAGATCATCCAAATAAAGTCATCAGGAACGAGTTGACTGATCACTTGTCCTGTGGGCATTAGCAAAACACTGTGTGTTAGTCCACTAAAAAACTAACAAGCTAGCGATTAAACAATTAGTTGATTAATAGAACAGAAAATTACATGGTTAAGTTTATCAAAGAAAAATGTCAAGCCTTCTCTGGTTCAAGTTTCTCTCTGCTTGATGTCAAGCTGACTGTATTTGGGTTTTGGGTTGTTGGTCGGACAAAGCAAGCAACTTGCAGCGTTACTTCTAGAAGGTTGGCGCGCACATCTGTTACTACAGAACTACGATAATGAAAAATAACTTAGTTACAGCCACGTTTCAATAACCGGTGCCCAGGCATGCAGGAGTGTTTTGGGTTGATGCTAATGCTAGCTAGCAACGTAGCTCCGCCTTGGACGTGAAAGTCACACACACAAAAATACAGTTAATAATATTTCTGCCATCACCTATCTGACAACTCGACTATAATTAATTCATTTATTTTACGAATATTGTTACGTTACCCAATATGTCTGTGACCGGGATATTCGTCTTCAATGTGACTTCGGAAGACCACTTCCGGTCCGTGCAACACAAATCCCAGGCGTTTCCTGTTTCTCAAAGGAGACATTGGTTCCGCCAGAGCTGCTGAGAAGGCGTTTGAGAATCAATTTAGCTTTTAAAATCAACAAAAACGACGACGATGACAACAACAACAATAATAATAACAATAATAAGAAGAAGAACATACAAATAAATAAATGTTTTTAGCTTGATATTTTAATTTATTATACTATCCTGTATACTATTTTCCTTTACATATGTTTTTTGAGAATTTATAAAACTGTGTGGACCTATATTTAACATACAGTAGATAAATTGAATGCTTAAATGAGTCCATAGGAGGGCACTGACAATCGTAGCAATGGTAGACAGTGGTGGATCAGAGTATTCAGATCCTTTATTTAATTAAAAGTAATACCACACTGTAAAATACATACCTGCATTTAAAATGTTACTTAAGTAAAAGTATGCAAGCATAATTAGGATTAAAGTATTAAAAGTAAAAGTACTCATTGCAGAAAAAAATGTCCTGTGACTGTCATACTAAGATATATGATATTATTATTATCACTCACTCCTTAATGTAAAAGCAGCATTTTACTGTTGTAATTGTTGGGGGAAGCTCACTTTTAACTATTTTGTACTGGGTGCAACTAATGATTATTTTTCGTTATTTTTCTTAGGGATTAATCTGAAATGTTTTTACATGAAAAATTTCTAACGATCAAAGTTGTTTCCAGTTAATTTCAATGTAAATCAGCTGTATAAAACGTTACATATAACAAAACATATTTTAGTAGGTCTTCATGTGTTTTGTGTTAAATATCTTAATTTGTAAAGTGATCAGATTAATGTAGTGAAGTAAAAAGTACAGTATCTCCCTCTGAGATGTAGTGGAGTAGAAGTAGAAAGTAGCATGACAAGTACAAATACCTCAAATTTGCACTTAATTACTGTCCACCACTGATGTTAAGTGCAAATGAACCGTTAACTGTTTCCATGAAATAGACCAGCCATTTATTTACCGCTCAGTGATGAATTACAAATGTGGGGTGAATAATTGCAAGAAAACCCTTGAGAGAACAAATTGGGAATGCAACTCCATGTTTGATCCATGTAGTATTTATCTTATATAAAACATTTGAAAATAGACATTGATGCATGCAGCCTAGAGGAAATAGGCTCCCTGAGACAGAAAATTATACTTGTGGCAAGTGGTGTTCCTCATAATGGGCTCCCATGACGTGTATAAACAGTAGATGAGTGAAAGAGGGTGTGGAGGTGTGTTACATGTAAAATAGAACAACATATAATTTGGAAATGACAGCTATGACAAGACTTTACACTGATGCTGTGTAGCATAAATCACTGCAGCTGTAAATAGCAAAGAAATATGGAGAGTGATAGGCCTTTATCATATCTTGTAATTTACTACTGTGTGTTACTATGTAACATGTATGATATGTGCGTGTTTTTTGACTATGTCTTTGCTGGTGGGATAACAAAAGCCTAGCATGGCCCACAGAGCAGGAAGCTTCTGATGTTGTTTATGTATAAAAACTGACTGTCACTTGCTAGACTGACCCTTTTTTTAATGTTTTTGCCCATATGCAGAGTAGAAAATAAATTATTTACTTTGATTTTCTATGTTGTGTGGGTTGTTTCCCTTTATACAATGTTTTTGTGACATGTCTGTTACCTATTTATGAAGTGCTACAAACCTGTTACAATCGTCCCATTGTTGTTTTGTGAGCAGAAACTTTTGGAAAGTCCATTTCAGTCATAATTAAGTTTTATTTCCTTTAGACAATAAAATGGAATATGTTTCTTTCTTCCATGTGGCACTGTTGTATAACCAGGGAAGCTTTCACTTTTAGATCACTCTAGTTTTACACACTTGTGAGTAGCCACATCAAATCATTTATTCATGGGGCTTTCTCTCTTAGTTTTCATCAAGACGATGGGAAGCGGAACATTTACAGTTTGTAAGCTAGTGTATTTGTCTCCAAGAAAACACAGAATACTGACAAAAACAAGTTAAAGTCAGAGAATAAGTTTATGAGTGTACAATAGACTGTAAAGTTCCCAGGGCAATTATTTACAATAAAAACAACAACAACATAACATTCATTTCATTGTAAATCCTGCTGGCTATTAACTATTTTCTTCGCTATTTATACTTAACACCATCAGTTTGTGATGATAAGGCAACTGAAATGATCAGTATGTACTGAGATTTCCCTTTTACAGAACAGTCTGAATGGCTTTTAAATAAATTTCTTTTAGAAAACCCTCTCAAAATAATAGGGAAAAAAATAAAAACAATAAATTGTTAACTTGGCAGTAATTTCAAAGTGTCCTTTAATCCCATTTTAAATCAATGACCTATACATTATAAACTCCAACTAAATATCTATTTACAAAATCAGTAGTTGTATTTGGAGTTATTTTTTACACATTAAAAGCAAATAAATATTCACTGTTTTATTATAATTCATTGCAAATTACTGCACGGAAAGAGATCTGACCCTTGAAATAGAGCTTTACAGATGACAAGATTAATTTACTCCAAAGCAACACATACAATATAAGCATATGACAGAACGCTGAATGTAGTCACCATATGCCATAAATGTCACTTTAACGGCAACAAAATCAATAAATAAAAACATATATTAAAGAGAAAAAAACAACTCAGAAAATACTGTAGAGACTGGTCTCCTCACCAACAGACAAGACAGACACAGCAGTTAAATCAGCCATCGATGGATATATCCATACATTAGCAGACTATACAGACAGTGATGCAGTACAACTGCAATGTACAACCATTTTTTTAAGAGTGCTTAAAAATGATTCTGAATAAATTAGTTTTACAAGTAATCTGATACTACAATCCCATTATTGGCTGCAGAACATGTGAGTTAAAGGTGAGGTAAAATAAAACTAAGGGACAAAGAAATTCTACATTTATTTTTTAAGGCCATTTCATGTTAATATACATTACTGTCTTCACTGTGACCTGTGGTGTTAAGTTTGAAATGTAATCGTGTGGAAATTTGGGTGGTACAAGAAGGAATACAATTGTTTTGCTATAGATTTACAGTCCTTCAATTTGGATTTTACCCAGAAAATAATCACATTATACAGCATACAAGAGAACAATTCTACATCACATTAGATGTTTTGTTAGAAAATATCCATCTTTGATGCTGACTATTTGGTATTACGTATACATTGGAGATCTATATTGAGCCAAAACTTGTGTTGATTTGGTTAAACCATCCAGGCAATTATATTCTCTATGTTGCAGCAAAAGTCCTTCTCACAATCTCTACAAAGAGCACAATGGCACTGTCTTTACCCTGAATAGCCAGCAGACTGGGCTTTAACAAGACAAACTAAACCAAAGTTATATCTTTTACAAGTAAAACCATTACATTTGTAGATAAAATGTGTTCTTCTGAAACAAAAGGTGTGGTAAAAAACATACAACTAGGCAACAGATGTGTGAACAGGTAAAGAAAATATTGGAAGGAAACAACACTGTGCAAAAGCTGGCCCCTCTCTGTGCGTCATCCTCTCCAGAGTCCTTCAGCTTTCTGGATATACTGCACTCCGGCCCTCACTGAGCAGCAGACCGGACAGGCCCCACTTGCTTTCTCTCTTCTTTCTCATCTTCCTCCTTCTGATCATTGGTCATGGCGAACGTCTGCACTTGTCTCATCTCCCCGAGGGATTGTGACTTATGGGAATGCTTTGGGAATAAAAGAGATGTGTGGTCAAAACTCTAAGAACAAATTAAGATTTATGTAATTAAATAAATTAATAGCTAAAAATGACTCTTTGAAAAACCATTTATGTCTTGGGTTTGTTTATTCCTCAGTAATCTTCACAAGCATTACACACACAACACCTGAATATTCTGTATAACACATATACAGGACACAAGCATAAGCACAATATGGTTTGCTATTGATGTAGTATATCTGGTCCATAGTTTAAATCTGTGGACTGGGAGACCATGTGTCTAACCTGAAGATGGAGATCCAGGATACAACCAGGTGGGTGGAGCTAACAGTTCTACACAGAGATGCACAAACAGCAATATAAAAACAAACAGAGCAGAACCAAACATCAGCAACAGTCGAAAAACAAAGAACAAACTGTGAAGAGCAAAAAAGGAGATTTAAAGATAGCTGATAATTAATAAGTAAGATTAAGTCTAGGACAGGGTTGACTCACCGATGAGGACTGATGATCGTGTGGTCGTTCCAGTTTGATACGGATGTCTGTCCCTTTCCCTCGTTCAGGTTTGCCAGGCCCTGAAGGATATTAAACCAGTGAAATGATGTCCATCACAGATTGACTTTCAAATGAATCAAGGTTATCCATAAATAATAAGACAGTGAAAAATGAATATTTAACTTTTTGGAACCATGGATTGTGTGATTCAGGAATACTGCTAAAATATTTTGTTAAATTCTATCACTGTATTTTTCTACAGTGTGCCAGAAAAATGTCCTTCTTTCATCTGTCCGACTGCAAGCCTTACTAATATCCTGTTCATTCCATGATGACTGCTATGGACATGTGAGATGACATACATTTATTGATGATCCACTTAATAATTTCTTAATGGTGAGAAAGAGGAATTATGGAAGCCCTAGGAGGCAAGTGTGGAAAAAAAGTCTTGTCATCCATTTCTGATTTAAAATGTTTTGTAGGATAATCTTTGTAAGCTCCTTAATTTATTTATTTTTTATCAGGATCACAGGAAGTATTTGCTGTTGTAATACTAATTTCGGCCACAAGAGCCTGAAATTTCT